AGGGTGTAATCAACAAGGCATGGGTGGGCACGTTACTTTCACTAAGGGTGTAATCAACCAAGGCATGGGTGGGCATGTACTTTCACTAAGGATGTAGTCAACCAATGCATGGGTGGGCACATTACTTTCACTAAGGGTGTAATCAACCAAGGCGTGGGTGAGCAGTTTACTTTCACTAAGGTTGTAATCAACCAATGCATGGGTGGGCACATTACTTTCACTAAGGGTGTAATCAACCAAGGCATGGGTGGGCATGTTACTTTCACTAAGGATGTAATCAACCAAGGCATGGGTGAGCACTTTACTTTCACTAAGGATGTAGTCAACCAATGCATGTGTGGGCACATTACTTTCACTAAGGGTGTGATCAACCAAGGCATGGATGGGCATGTTACTTTCACTAAGGGTGTAATCAACCAAGGCATGGGTGGGTATGTTACATTCACTAAGGGTGTAATCAACCAAGGCATGGGTGAGCACTTTACTTTCACTAAGGATGTGATCAACCAAGGCATGGGTGAGCATGTTACTTTCACTAAGGGTGTAATCAACCAAGGTATGGGTGAGCATGTTACTTTCACTAAGGGTGTAATCAACCAAGGCATGGGTGGGCATGTTACTTTCACTAAGGATGTAATCAACCAATGCATTAGTGTGCACATTACTTTCACTAAGGGTGTAATCAACCAAGGCATGGGTGGGCATGTTACTTTCACTACGAATGTAATCAACCAAGGCATGGGTGAGCACTTTACTTTCACTAAGGGTGTGATCAACCAAGGCATGGATGGGCATGTTACTTCCACTAAGGGTGTAATCAACCAAGGCATGGGTGAGCATGTTACTTTCACTAAGGGTGTAATCACCCAAGACATGGGTGGACATGTTACTTTCACTAAGGGTGTAATCAACCAATGCATGGGTGAGCACTTTACTTTCACTAAGGATGCAGTCAACCAATGCATGGGTGGGCACATTACTTTCACTAAGGGTGTGATCATCAAGCATGGGTGGGCATGTTACTTTCACTAAGGATGTAATCAACCAAGGCATGGGTGAGCACTTTACTTTCACTAAGGATGTAGTCAACAAATGCATGTGTGGGCACATTACTTTCACTAAGGGTGTGATCAAACCAAGGCATGGATGGGCATGTTACTTTCACTATGGGTGTAATCAACCAAGGCATGTGTGGGTATGTTACATTCACTAAGGGTGTAATCAACCAAGGCATGGGTGAGCACTTTACTTTCACTAAGGGTGTGATCAACCAAGGCATGGGTGAGCATGTTACTTTCACTAAGGGTGTAATCAACCAAGGCATGGGTGAGCATGTTATTTTCACTAAGGGTGTAATCAACCAAGGCATGGGTGGGCATGTTACTTTCACTAAGGATGTAATCAACCAATGCATTAGTGTGCACATTACTTTCACTAAGGGTGTAATCAACCAAGGCATGGGTGGGCATGTTACTTTCACTACGGATGTAATCAACCAAGGCATGGGGGAGCACTTTACTTTCACTAAGGGTGTGATCAACCAAGGCATGGATGGGCATGTTACTTTCACTAAGGGCGTAATCAACCAAAGCATGGGTGAGCATGTTACTTTCACTAAGGGTGTAATCAACCAAGGCATGGGTGGGCATGTTACTTTCACTAAGGATGTAGTCAACCAAGGCATGGGTGAGCATATTACTTTCACTAAGGGTGTAATCAACCAAGGCATGGGTGAGCATGTTACTTTCACTAAGGGTGTAGTCAACCAATGCATGGGTGGGCATGTTACTTTCACTAAGGGTGTAATCCACCAAGGCATAGGTGGGCACTTTACTTTCACTAAGGATGTAGTCAACCAATGCATGGGTGGGCACATTACTTTCACTAAGGGTGTGATCAACCAAGGCATGGATGGGCATGTTACTTTCACTAAGGGTGTAATCAACCAAGGCATGGGTGAGCATGTTACTTTCACTAAGGGTGTAATCAACCATGGC